TCCTACAGATCTGTCCACATTCATGGGAAATGTGGATGAACAAAGTCACTCACTGTATAGAGGGAAAGATACCAGGATGGTCCCGGGGGCCAGGCGGCGGGGGAGGACGGCTGGCATCAACCTACGGGACAGCTCACAGCGGCCCATGGCGCAGCTGCGTGCAACAATCGGGACCGATCGGGAAAACCCGAGAATGCATCTTAGGGGGAAAGAGCGAGGAGGTCGGGGGAGGAACTGAGCTCTTATTTGCTAGTAGCAGCTAAAGGAAATGCCGGGCGTATATACAGGAGCGAAATAAAAGTGTTCCTGCCATGTGGAAAGTTCCGGAACCTATTTCCTATAGCACCCTTGGCAGGAGGATCAGGGTAGCCAGGGTAGGAATTAGGAGTGAAGCCGCAGCGTTCTCCTTCCCGCACGTGTTTGGGGTTGGAGCCGGGTGAGCAAAGCGTGACGGTTGGAGAGGACGCTCCCGGGCACCCGCCCGCCCTGCCCCGGCCCCACTTACCCAGGGCTGCCACGATGAGGAAGAAGGAGGCGGCCACGAGGAAGGCCACGTCCGGCTTGGTGTAGGAGAGCAGCTTCCTCAGCGTGGCCCCCGATGCCTGCTCGGGCGGGGACTGGGCCCCGCCGCCGCCACGGAAGCCCTCGGCCTCGGCGCGGGTGCCCGGCTCAGGGGTGTCCGCGCCAGGCCGCACGGCGGCCAGCAGCCACCAGAGCAGGAAGGAGGCGGCCAGCGACACGTAGGTCCACGCGAAGAGGGCCCAGAACCACGGGTCCCGGACGGGCCTGCGCACCTCGGAGAAGAGCAGCAGCTTCACCACGGCGTAGATGCCCACGGCCAGGCACACGAGGGCGATGACGCCCCACGAGGCCCGCAGCCGCCGCGGCCCCAGGGCGCTGTTCTTGGCCACGCCGATGGCGGCCCCCAGCAGCAGGCAGCTGCGGTACAGGCAGGCCGCCCAGAGGTCCAGCACCGAGTCGAAGACGTTGAAGTGGCGGATGTCCTCCAGCAAGCGGCGGTCCGGGTGGCTGAAGACATAGATGGCCGTGGTCACGCCGACGTCCACGCTCGTGAAGGCCAGGGTCACCGCCACCGCCTTCCACAGCCGCATCCTGCTGCCTCGCCGTGGGCGGGTGCCGAGGGGCAGGAGGCGGCTCACGGGAGCAAAGCCATCGTCGTCCTCCTCCTCCCCGGGGTGAGGCCAGACCTGTAGGGGCAACAGCGCACAACAGGGCGACGGGCTCGGGTTTGCTACGAGCTAGCTTTGTGGCCTTGAGCAAGTCGCTTGACATCTCTGAGCCTCAGTTGCCCCATCTGTGAAATGGCAACACAAGTACTCCTGACTTCCTGGGGCGCTATGAAGATTCCACCAGCGCCAGGGATAGTCCTTGAGGGCCTGCTGTGGGCCGGACGCTGCTCTTTGTCTTGGGGATTTAACAAGGAACAAAAATAACAAAGGCCCCTGCCCTTGTGGAGATGGCACGCTCCAGGGGCAGACAGGTAATAAGGAAATGACACGGTCTGTGATGACATAGGAGCTATGGGGATAAAAAAGGGGGTGAATAGGACGGGGATGGCTTTAAATGGGGGGCCAGGGAAGACCCTGGGAAGGTAACACTTGAGCAAGACTTGAAAAAGGTGAGGGAGTCCACTATGCGGCCGAGGGAAAAGCATTTGGACAGGTGGAACAGACAATGCCAGAGCCCAGAGACAAGACTGTACCTTAGGAAGGCAAGGAGGCCCCATGAGGTCCGAGGGGTGAGGGGTGTGGGGAGGAGACCTAGAGGACGTGGCAGCCATTGTGAGGACAAAGGTGCCCTCAGACAAGCAGAGTTCAATAAGCGATCATGGCCTTCCTCTCCAACTCAGGCTTTCCATCTCTGCAACCCCAATAAACCTCACCCTCGTAGACCAAGAGTGGATTTGAAGGGAGTGGGGTGGCTCGCAGGCCTCACAGCAACCCAGGGACCTTCGCATCTACCTGGAAATTTCCAGAATCTTTTCCTCCAGCCCAGGCTGTCCCTCATGCCCAGCCCTAGGCCCCTTTGGTTTTCTGCATCTTGATGTCTACTTTGTCCAAAGCACCTTCCCTGCCCCGGGCCCTCAGGCCTCACTGGGGCCTGGGAGACCTCAGAGCTGCAGGGACAGCTGGGGGTTGGCCTGGGGGGCCTGAGTGTGGGGGTTGGGGCTTGTCCAGGGTGGGGCCAGGACCGGGCCCGGGTGTGTCCCTGAGTGCTACCTCCTGACTGGGGTCCAGGCCTTCCTCTCCAGGGGCCTTTGTTGTCCCACCTGCAAAATGGGCACAGCTCTAGAGCTCTCAGGTGGAGGGACAGGCCGTGAGTGACAGGAGGGTAGCTGAGCTGTTTCTGTGAGGGGTGTCCCGAGATAGTCTCTCCCCATGGTGCTGGTGTCTGAACTGCTCAGGCTGTGCGCTGATCGGAACCGCACACAATCCCATTTACGGTTGGGGAAACCGAGGCCCAGAGAGACAAGACCACCTGCTCCCGACACTCAGCCAACAGGGCCCCAGCCAGGACCTGGGCGGGCACGGAAAGGACCCGGGCACCTTCCTCTCCGCCTCTGCACCGCGAGCCTGGCAAGCAGAAGACAGTTACGTAACACGGCACTTCCCACGAGCCCTGCCCGTGCCACGTGCCGCACACGGGTTCACGCATTTAGTCCTCACGACAGCGCGGCCAGATGTGTGCACTCATAGTCCGCATAGCAGATGGGGAAACTGAGGCCCAGAGAAGTGAATAACCTGCCCGAGGCTACACGGCTGGCGAATCGTAGGGCTGGGATGCGAGCTGAGCGCTGCCTTCAGTACCACAAATGCTAAGAGGGAGCATTCGTCCGGGGGAAAGAGTCCCCATCAGAGGGGCCTCAGCTTAGGACGATGGCTACAATGACAGCTGGTCTTTACCGGTGCCACCATGTGCCTGGCACTGTTCTAAGTCATCTACAGGCATTAATACTCACAAGAATCCTGTGAAGTAGGTTCTGTTATGATCCCCATTTTACAGTTGAGAAAACCGAGGCACAGAGAGGGTAAGTGACCTGCACCAGGCCACACAGCTAGGAAGTGGCAGAGCTGGGTTGTGAACCCCAGGCTGCTGAAGGCTCCAATCCTTCAAAGCAGCCTCTTTTGCCCCTGCACCCCGCAGGTAGGTTCAAGCCTGTCGCAGACACAACGGCTGCTTAGTCAGCAGCTGCCCCTCCAAAGACAGCCGGGGCCGAGGGGGTTCAAGGGCAGGGGAGGGAGGTGGAGTGGACAGACACCCCCTGCCCGGGCCCTTGCTGCCCCCAGCCCCGGGGAGCTGCCAGCGCAGGCTCCTGTCTGCTGCAATGCAGAAGCCGCGCAGCGAGTGGGTGGGTGAGCGCAGGCAGGAGCCCAGGGAGGGAAGCTCCTGGCCCAGCGCCACCCCGGCCTCCCGGCCAGCCGCTGCCGGCTGCACCGGGTCCCGCTGGCCGTCTCTGCTGCTGCTGTCCCCTCGGTGCACACAAACTGTCCCTCAGTCCCCAGAAGGGGCTGAGGCTCAAAAGTAGCACCGGAAACTTGAAGCCTGGACTGCAGCCCAGGGGCTTGGCCGGCTCTCTCTGCCTGTGACTCCCAGTCACTGGGGCAATTCCTACAGGACACCCCGACAGCCCGTTGCCAGCCGCCCACCCGGGACCCCCAACCATTTATCTTCACCAGAATAAACAACATTTTAAGCACCAACATCACAGACTATCTGAACCACGTTTTGCAGGCGGGGAAACTGAGGCCCAGAGAGGGAGGGGCAAGGCTTGTTTAGGGGTCACTCAGTGAGCTGGGGCAGAGCAGTGCTAGCACCGGGGTCCCCTGCCCCCAAGCGCTCAGTCCTACTACAGCTCCCGGGGGAGTGGAACCCAACTCAGGTCAGGTTACAGTCTTCAGCGGGGACAGTCACTCCGTTATTTTTAAAGTTACTGAGTAGGAGTGATAAGAGGACAAGACCGTCAGAAGGCGGTGGGGAGGCAGGATGGCGACCAGAAGGCTGTGTGGAGGCACGTGCCCCTCTCCATCCGCCCGACTCGGAGGGCGCGGCTGGGCTCGGCCAGGTGGAGCTGGAGGGCAAATTGTGGGCACAGGGGTGACGTGCAGGGCCAAGGGACAGGCACAAGGTGGTGGCCAGAGGCCAGATCGGGCCTCGCCCAGGGCCCAGCATGGCCCAGAAAGATAGGGGCCCCTCGCCTTGACGCCAAACTCCAAGGAATGGCACAAGATTAGCAAGTGACCCTGCCACTGTCGCCACCAGCAGTCTTGTCAAAGGCTTTTCTTCCCAGGAGGGGAGACGTTGGCTGGGGCATCTCCAGCTGTCAGCTGCAGAAAAGTTCAGTCCGGAAGGGCCAGGGGACAATAAATAACAATCATTATCACAGTCACAACAGCTACCGTTTACGGGCACCTCCCAATACCGTCGTCCTGGGAGGACCTTGTGGTTATCACCCTCGGGTCCCAGCTGGGGAGACGGACGCCTGGGGAAGTTAGGTGACATGCAGAAAATGGACCAGGTGGGACTGAAACCCAACACTTCAGTCTCTGGGGTCCCTGGCCGAGGCTCTTAGGAACGGCAAGAGAAGGTGCTGAAGAACTTGGGTGACCCAGTGGCCTCAGTTCACCCCAACTCGGCGAGCTTTTTATCCCAACGCCTGCCCAGCTCTGGAAAAGCCCCACTCACCGCTCAGCGAGCACGGATGACCGAGGCCCCTTGGTGGGGACAGTGGTGCTGTGGGCCCTGGAGGCAGGACAGGACCGGGCTGGGTCCACATGGCTCCATCCTGACACTCGCCCTTGCTAAGCCCACACCCTGCGCACTCAGGGACTTGGGGAAGCTGTTTCAGGCAACTCTTAGCTCTAGGCGGGGGAGCTGGGGAGCGGGGCGCCCTTCCTACAATCCTCTTGTCACCCGGCCCCGCCCCAACTGGAAAAGGGGAATGGAGGCCACCCCACCTCCAGGGGGTGGGGCAGAGGCAGGGAATCCTGCCAACCCTGCTAAAGCTCCCCCGATTAACCGGGCCTGGGGAGCAGGCCTTGTTTAATGCGGGCTCAGAAATAAGGGAGGGGCCCCCGGGAACCCACAGGCCTAACAGCCAGGACGGAGGACGCGCGGGAGCAGCGCCGGCCCATTGGTCCGCTGGGGAAACTGAGGGCAGGGCTTTGCCCAGGTCCGCAGGCCCAGCTCCCCCACCGCCGGCTTCTGTCCCAGCCGGGACGCGCAGGCTCCCAGCAGGCCGCGCCACGGGCTGGGGGAGCCCTTAGGGGACGCGCCATCCCAATCCCCGGGAACGACAGTCATCCCAGGACGTCCGCAACCTCCCGCCCCCGTTTTCCAAGAGGCGGCGGCACCTGAGGGGTTAAAAAAAATGCAACATCGGCGCTGCGGGCGCGGAAAGGATGCTGCAGGGCTGGGAGCTGCGGCTGCGGGCGCCCGGGTACGGGCGGGCGGCCCAGGCTCCAGGCAGGCTCCCGCCCCCAATCGAGACGCCCGCTCCCTCCGAGGCGGGGGAGCCCGGCGCCCCCACTCCGCGCCCGCTTTGGCGCCCTGGCTTGGGAAGGTCCCGGGCCGCGGGTCCCGAGCGCCGCGCCCTTACCTGTTACCTGGCACCAGGTGAGCTGTGGGAGGGGGCGCGCAGCGGGCTCGGGTCGTCGGGGACGCAGGCTCCGCGCCGCTCATCGCAGCCTGCGCCGGGCGCCGCGCTCGCTCCGGTCCCGCAGCCCGCCCGCCCGCCCGCCCGCCCGCGCTGCGCCGCCGCAAGGTCGGAGCCGAGCCCCGCGGGCGCCAGGCCGGCCGGCGCACGGGGCGGAGCCTCGGGGCGGGTGGGCGGGGCTCCAGGACGGGGCGGGGTCTCCTGGGAGGTGGGCGGGGCCTCTCGGCGGGGCGGGGCGTCTGGGCGGAGCCAGAGCCAGCCTCCGGGGTCCGGCCAGCCCGGCCCCCCACGCTCCTCACCTGGAGGCCTCAGGCCCGTCCGGAGGGGACAGGGGAGACAGGAGCGGCCTCACCTGCCAGAGGGCCTGCTCTGTACCGGGTTCCCCCAGGGCCAGCCCGCCGGCCCAGGGGGTGGGGGTTCTGATCCTCGTTCGTGCACTGATTCTTCCATTGATTCAACCAGCGCGTGTTTACCCCGCGCCCACTGCGTGCCAGGTGCTGTCGTGAGGGATCCAGGTCCCACAGCGAGCACAACCAGGCCCCGCCCTTCCGGGCTGACATTCTAGTGAGGGAGTCAGACGATATAACGCGTAAGTAAATCATATGGCTGGAAGGGAATGCATTTTATGGAGAAAATCAGAGCAGGGTAAGGGCGTTGGGAGACGGAGGCGGCAACGCGCGCCGACTGATTGCCTTTGCCAGCTGGGTGTGAGATGACAGAAACCCCCGCCTTGATGGAGTGAGGGAGGCAGGACATCCACAGGTACACACATAAGGTAATTCGGGTTCTGGTAAGTGGTGCGAAAGAAACAAAACCAGGTAGGGGGTGGAAAGCGGCATGGGGCTACTGTAACCTGGAAGGCCTCTCTTAGAAAGGTGAGGAGTGGGCCACAGGGAGATCTGGGGAAGGGCGTTCTGTTCTAGACTCTATTTTATCTTATTTATTTATTTGGGACAGAGTCTTGCCTCTGTTGCCTGGTCTAGAGTGCCGTGGCATCAGCCTAGCTCACAGCAACCTCAAACTCCCCAGCTCGGGCGATCCTTCTGCCTCAGCCGAGCAGCTGGGACTATAGGCATGTGCCACCATGCCCAGCTAATTTTTTCTATATAATTTTAGTTGTCCAGCTAATTTCTTTCTATTTTTAGTAAACATGGGGTCTTGCTCTTGCTCAGGCTGGTCTTGAACTCCTGAGCTCCAAGTGATCCTCCCACCTTGGCTTCCCAGAGTGCTGGGATTACAGGAGTGAGAACCGCACCCAGCCAGGGGAGGAAGGAGTGTTCCTGGCTAAGGGAACTGCAAGTTCAAAGGCTCTGAGGTGGGAACTGGCCTGACATTTGAGGAACAGAAGGGGGTCAGTGTGGCTGAACTGCGGGGAGTGGGTGGGGCGTGGGCTCGGGGCCCACAGGGACTGGGGGCAGGTGGGATGAGATCCTGCCACACCCCTCCATCCTTCAGCCAGAGGCTTTTTGAAGTACTCTCTGAATTCAAAACATCCTGTGCTACTTGCAAGGGACAGCTTCCTTGGAGGGGAATTTGGCAAAGTTCAGAATTGAAAACATGTTTTTTTTTTTGACCCAGTAGGAGTTTCTTCCACAGACAGAGTTGTGGAGGGGAGCCAAGGCACTAGCTTGAAGACAGTTACTACAGTAGCTAACATCTGGAAATAACCTAAATACCCTTCCACAGGGAACTGGCCAAATAATTAGAGAGAATCCGTTCAACAGAATACTCTGAAGCAGGAGACAAAGAAAAAAGAAAAGAAATATATAGAAGACATGAAGTTATATAAAGGTATGAAATGACCTCCTAAATGTATTGAGTAAAAACGAGAGAGAATAAAGTTGGACCATGTTACTGTTCGTGCAAAAACAAGGGCAAATATTAATTGTACTTGAAGAGAATACCTTGGATGGATTGGTCAAAAAGCTGGAGTAACTCAGAGCTGGGTCCACGTCCAGGCTCTGTCATTTTTGCTGTGTGACCTTGGGTAGGTGACTTTGCCTCTCTGAGCCTGTTTCTTGATCAGCGAAATGGGGGTAATAAAGATACCGACTGCACTGGGGTACTGTGACCTTCAGCAAAACTTTCAGCAAATGGGAATGAAGATTATTTTGGGGAAGGACGGGATGACTGAACATTTATGCACCTAATAGCATAGCAAAGGATATCGACAGGAGCTGTTAGAAACGTGAAACTGACAGAACCATGTGGGCCTCATCACATTTCTCCACATGAACCTTGCTTCCCAGTGATCAAGTCTGCAAGTTCTCCCGTTGCTCACACCTCTGTACCTTTGTATAGCTGACCCCTCTGCCAAGGACGGGCTTCTCGAATCCTGGCCAGTGCATCTCTTTCTTTCTTTCTTTTTTTTTTTCTGAGACAGAGTCTCACTCTTTGCCCAGAGTAGAGTGCCGTGGCGTCAGCCTAGCTCACAGCAGCCTCAAACTCCTGGGCTCAAGCGATCCTCCTGCCTCAGCCTCCCGAGTAGCTGGGACTACAGGCATGTGCCACCATGCCCGGCTCATTTTTTCTATATATTTTTAGTTGGCCAATTAATTTCTTTCTATTTTTTAGTAGAGATGGGCCTTGCTCTTGCTCAGGCTGGTTTCGAACTCCTGAGCTTGAGCAATCCTCCCGCCTCAGCCTCCCAGAGTGCTAGGATCCCAGGTGTGAGCCACTGCACCTGGCCCAGTGCATCTCTTTCAAATGAGATCTGGCCTATGCTTGCTGCTCTCAGAACTATCTTAGAATGCCAGCTTGGTAGGTGGGAAGGTAATCGCAGTGTCAGGTGCACTGTGGGGCAAGGTGACACTAATGTGTGACTGGCGCGTAGGTGCGGTGGACATTGCGGCTGCCTTCCCCCACCGGGTGGCAGCCATGTGGGTTGAGTGATCCCACCCCAGCCCCAGCCTAGTCACAGACACTGGTTCCGCTCAGCTTGCAGTGGGAACCATTCTGTGAGTGACTGCTAATGAGTACAGTGTCTTTTGGGCTGAGGAATGTTCTAAAAAGTGATTGTGGTAATGGTTGTACAACTCTGTGAATATACTAAAAACCACTGAATTGTATGTATACTTTATTTTCATTACTTTTTAATTTTTTTAGAGATCGAGACTTGCTATGGTGCCCAGGCTGGCCTTGAACTCCTGGGCTCGAGTGATCCTTCTGCCTCAGCTTCCTGAGTAGCTAGGACTACAGGCGTGCACCAGCACACTGGGTGAATTGTACATTTTAAATGGGTGAATTGTATGGTATGTGAGGTATATCTCAATAAAGCAGTTATTTTAAAAAGAAGAGGAAGGAAAAGAAAAGAACCATTGTGTACATTCCTCTCACCACAGGAACTGATTTAAGCAGGGTAAAGTTCAGGACTTTTGCTGGAAATTCTAGGATATAGCTAACTCTCCTGCACATAGGTGAAAAATGCAGCAGTCCCAAAGACCTGGCAGTCACCTGCTGGGGACCCAGGCTTAGAACGACGTGGATTTATCACAGTAAATACAGCAATAGACGGAAATAGAAGCCAGGCTGGGCGCAGTGGCTCGTGCCTGTATCCCTGGCACTCTGAGAGGCTGAGGTGGGAAGATTGCTTGAGGTCAGGAGTTTGAGACCAGCCTAGGCAAGAGAGAGACACCCGCCTCTACTAAAAATAGAAAACTCAGCCAGGCATGGTGGCACATGCCTGTAGTCCCAGCTACTTGGGAGGCTGAGGCAGGAGGATCACTTAAGTCCAGGAGTTTAAGGTTGCCATGAGCTATGATGATGCCACTGCACTCTACCTGGGGTGACAGAGGGAGACTCTGTCTCAAAAATAAACAAATAAATAATTTAAAGAAAAGAAAAAGAAATAGAAGCCAGCCTTAGGTGTGAGTGTGTGTGTATATATGTATTTTTTCTCTTTTTCCTCCATCTCCCCTCAACCTAGGCTTAGGTATAAATATAATAATAATATGTATAAGATCTGTATGAGGAAAACAACAAAACTCTGAGGAAAGAAATAAAAAAAGACTGAAATAGACAGATACATGATCTTGTCAAGATGTCAGTTCTTCCCAACTTGCTCTATACATTCAGTGCAATCCAATCAAAATCCCAGCAAGTTATTTGTTATTACTGACAAAGTGATTCTAAGGTTTAGAGAGCCAAAACACTCAGAATAGCCAACACGACACTGAAAGAAAAGGACAAAGTTGAGAGCTGACATTTCCTAACTTCAAAACTTACTATAAAGCTACAGTAATCACGACAGGGTGCTACTGGTAAAGGAAGAGACAGACAGATCAGTGGACCATAACAGACCGCCATAGGCTCAGTCAACAGATCTCTGATGAACGAGAAAAGGCAATGCAATGGAGACAAGACAGTCTTTTTAACAAACGGTGCTAGACGAACTGGACAGCCACATGCCAAAAAATTAATCTTGGGGGGAGGGAGGGGGGTCGGGCAATATTTGTAGCCCTAACAATATTTGTACCCCCATAATATGATGAAATAAACAGAAAAAAATGAATCTAGACACAGACTCTACACCCTTTAAAAAATTAACTCAACATGGGCCACAGACCTAAATGAAAATGCAAAACCATAAGACTTGAAGATAACATAGGAGAAAATCTGGATGACTGTGTGTTTGGTGATGACTTTTTATAATACGACACCAAAGGCACCATTCATGAAAGAAATAGTTGCTAAGCTGGACTTCGTTAAATTTAAAAATTTCTGCTCTGTGAAAGACATTGTCAAGAGAATGAAAGGACAAGCCAGAGACTGGGAGAAAATATTTGCAAAAGACATAGCTCATAAGAAGTGTTATCTGGGCCGGGCGCAGTGGCTCAAGCCTATAATCCTAGCACTCTGGGAGGCCGAGGCGGGGATTGCGTCAGGGTTGAGCGGAAGGAGCGAGACCCCGTCTTACTATAAATAGAAAGAAATTAATGGCCAACTAATTATATAGAAAATTAGCCGGGCATGGTGCACATGCCTGTATCCCAGCTACTCAGGAGGCTGAGGCAGAAGGATCACTTGAGCCCAAGTTTGAGTTGCTGTGAGCTAGGCTGACGCCACGGCACTCACTCTAGCCTGGGCAACAAAGTGAGACTCTGTCTCAAAAAAAAAAAAAAAAAAAAAAAAAAGAAGTGTTATCTGAACTGGACAAAGAATCCTTAAAATGCAACAAGAAAAGAAACAACCCAATTAAAAAATGGGCCTCATGCCTGTAATCCCAGCACTTTGAGAGGCCATGGTGGGAAGATTGCTTGAGGCCAGGAGTTCAAGACCAGCCCCGGCAACATAGCCAGACCCTATCTCTAAAAAAAATTTTTTTTTAATTAGCTGGGCATGGTGGTGCTTGCCTATATGTCTAGCTACTTGGGAGGCTGAAGCAGGAGGATCACTTGAGCCCACGAATTCAAGATTACAGTGAGCTACGATCATGCCATTGCGCTCCAGCCTGGGTAACAGAGTGAGATGTGTCTCCTTAGAAAAGGCCAAAGACCTTAACAGACACTTCACCAAAGAAGACTGTATGGATAGCAAACACAAACGAGCATATGAAAAGACACTCCACATCTTATGTCATCGAGACATGCAGACTAAAACAGTGAGATGCCACTACACACCTACTAGAATGGCCAAAATCTGGAACACTAATAGCACCAAATGCTGTCAAAGATGTGGAGCAAAAGGAACTCTCATTCACTACTGGTGGGAATGCAAAATTATACAGTCTCTTTGGGAGACAGTTTGGCGGCTTCTTACAAAACTAAATATACTCTTATCACATAAGCCAGCAATCACACTTCTTGGTATTTACCCAGAGGAGTTGAAAACTTGTGTCCATACAGAAACCTGTACATGGATGTTTACAGAAGCTTTATTCTATTCAATGTTCCCAAGGCAAAGAAATGATAAATGATCGAGATGACGGAGGTGCTACCTACCCTCATCCGATCACTGCACATTACACGTCTGGAAATGTCACTGTCTACCCCACGGATATGTACGAGTATAATTTTTCAATTAAAAAAATAAAATAAAAACAAAGATGCTTTATTCATAATTGCCTAAACTTGGAGGCACTCAAGATGTCCTTTGGTAGGTGAATGGATAAACTGTGGTACATCCAGATGTTGGACTGTTATTCAGAGCTAAAAAGAAAGGAGCTATGCAGCCACGCAAAGACATGGAGGAGCCTTAGGTGCACATTATTAAAGTGAAAGAAGCCAATCTGAACAGGCTGCGTACAGAGTGATTCCAACTCCATGACATTCTGGAAAAGGCAAAACTATGGAGACAGTAAAAAGTGGATGCCAGGGGTTAGCGTGGAGGGAGAGAGGAACTGGGCGAGCACAGAGGATATTTAGGGCGGTGAGACTGCCCTGTGTGATACAGTAATGGTAGACACGTGTCATACACATTTGTCACAAACTAGAATATACAACTCTAAGAGTGAACCCTAATGTCAACTGTGGACTTTGGGTGACAGTGTCGATGTGGGTCCGTTGGCTCTAATGAAGGTGGCCCTCCGGTGTGGGACGTTGATGGTGGCGGATTGTGGGCGAAAAGGGCTATATAGGAACCCTCTGTACTTTCCACTCAATTTTGCTGTGAACCTAAAACTGCCCTTAAAAAGAGTCTATTAAAAGTGTTTAAAATGGTGAATTTTATGTTATATATATTAAACCATAATAATAAAGAAAGAATGTTCATAGCAGCTTCATTCATAACATCTCCAAACTGGAAACAATGCAAATGCTTACCAATTGGAGCATGGGTCAATGAATTATGGAATGTTCACTAGGGGAATACAGTGAAGCCACCAAAAAGAATGAACTGCTGCTCTGCCTGACAGCACGGATGAATTCAAGAGCATAAGGCTGAGAGAAGCCAGATGCAAAATAGTAGATGCTATATGATTTTATTTGTATCTAATGCAAGAACAGGCAAGACTAACCTTTCCTATTAGAAGTCAAAGTAATGATTGGTGTTGGGAGGTGGGCAGTGGCTGTGAGGAGACATAGGGGGGCTTCTGTGGGGCTGGAATGTTCTGTTTTGGATCTGGGTGCTGGTTACATGGCCTGTCCAGTTTGTAAAACTGCATCACACGGTATACTTATGATTGTGCCCTTTTGTTGTATGTGAGCTCTATGTCAGTGGCCCCAACTTTTTTGGCACCAGCGACCGGTTTCATGGAAGACAATTTTTCCATGGATCCAGGGTTGGAGGTCATGGGTGGGGGGCAGAGCTCAGGTGGTAATTCCAGCAAGGAGGAGCGGCTGTAAATACAGATGAAGCTTCTCTCTCTCACCTCCTGCTGTGTGGCCCAGTTCCTAACAGGCTATAGGCTGGTACCGGTCCATGGTCCA